TACTACTTTTTTGGGGGTTTCCATTTTGTTGCAATCACTGTTGCTAGAATATTTTACTAGCTATCATATTTTTTTTCTAAATATTAACTATGGTCGTAACATTTTACAGACCACATGTTCTATACCTGCAGACTTTTGACAAGGAATGAGAGAAGTTATTACTGGAAGAATGAGATATCATAAGTCACTGGATAATACAAGGGTTCAGGTGCTTAGTGTCTGCTATCTGGAATGTCCTCTCTTCAATAGGGAATTAAAAAAAAATCAACTACCATCAGGAACTACAATTAATATTCACTATAGAATACTATTACTAAAGCAACAGCTTTCAAATAGTAGAATATTCTATTTTTTGGTGTCACACAATCACAGAATCACAGAATTGTTGGAGATGCAAGGGATCTCTAGAGATCATCTAGTCCAACCCCCCCACTAAAGCAGGATTTCCTAGAGCACATCACACAGGATTGCATTCAGACAGGTTCTGAAAGTCTCAAAAGACGGAGACTCCACAACCTCCCCAGGCAGCCTGTGCCAGTGCTCTGCTACTCTCAAGGGAAAGAAGTTCTTCCTCCTATCTAGATGAATGGAACTTCCTGCGTTCAATGAATCTTCTTGTGTCTGCAAGTTATTTTCAAATTCTGCACATTCTTTAAGGATAAATTTGCTTGGAACTTTACAACTTACAGTGATACGGCAGCACACTAACATCTCAGATTTTCTTAAAAGACACACTGCAGGTGCTAGAAACAGAGACAATGAAATAGGCTGAACAGAGGGGAAGAACATGCTGAGTTCTCTTCCTGATTCTCTCACTTGTTAATTCATCAATTTTGTGCAGGTTATTCAGCCTGCCAGTATTTCCAAGCCACAGAAATTATGCTCATTCCTATGCCTTTTAAAAACCATTTCTGAGATGATACTGCTGTGGGAATAACACTATGCATCCATCCCTGAACACTTCCAGAGCATCAGAAGCTCTCAAGCACCCTGTTAGAACCTACCCAACAATCTTACCTACAGCTTTGATGCAAATTGTGAGCTGCATGGAAGCTACAAACAGAATTTTGCAGCTAGTTAAGTAAGCAGTCACGATTTCTACTGAACACAACTGTATGTTTGTGCTAAGACTTGCTGAGTCGTTTTGCTGGCACAGAGAAAGACTGGACAAAGAGGCAGAGCGATGCTAAAACAAGACAGTGAGTAACCTCCAAGCAGGGCAGTTCCAGAAAGGATGCAGCCTCCCTTAGAAGGTCATTCCCTCAGTTCCTGAAGATTAACTAGGCTCCAAACTGATGCCAACACAAGATGGGCATCATTTTACAATCTGTCTGTGCCTGTAACATTTGACACTAACAACTCTGTATTATAATGTTTCCACAGAAGACATTAGCTAGCAGCAAACAACAAATGCAGTCCAGAAGAAGGATTTCTCAGAGATTCAAAATCTTATTTGCTGCAGTAGAAAAGTAGACAAAGGAAGGGAAATTCAAATTTGTGTACACTTGCTTCAAGAAATGATCTTTCTGTGTTTATTTATCTGCCAAGTCTTTGAAAAGAGTGAGAAAATACCTGTCGATTACCATCTGCTGGTACAAAGGTTTGCACAGCAACCCGCAAGTTACCTTATACATTACTCTTTTCAGTTTCTTATATATAATAATGCCAGAAGTTGCATGCACAAGAATAATATAGCATATATTAGCACCCAGTATACGCTACATGCTTATTCTTTGAGTACAGACTTAATTTTCTGAAAACTGACAACTGAATTACTTCAATTTTTCATAAAATCCTTGAGACATCTACACTCATAACTTCACTTGTCCATGGCAAAAGAAAAAGTACAACACTCTAAATCACCAGAAGTTTAAAAGATAGTCTCCTCTGACTAACCTAACAAAACCTATTTGGAGGACAGAAATGCTATGATCCCAAAAAATCAGTTGTCTTCCTAAGAAAACGGATTGTGGACAATTACAGATCTGAACAATTTTTTTTAATTAGCTAAAATAAATTTAATCTGTATATAATTATACATAGTATTATTTCACTCCTAGACAAACCTTCCTTTTTAATCATAGTATGTTCTGAATGATGATACAGTAAAGCAGGGTCTGAAACCTCTCCTTAAGCTAGAAGAGTTGTAAGAACCAGTAGCGGAGCAACAGTATCTCACTTCTGTGTAGGAATAGGAGGCATGGAACATACACGTAAGCAGAACAGCATAGGAAAAAAAAAATAGCGCTGCAGCAGAAAGCTCAAGAACACTTGGGTCTGGTTGACTTTGAGCCTAAAACAACTGACTTGTAGTTCTCCACCCAGAGAGAATTTGACAGGGGCTATGACAATTGACAACACTGAAATCAGGTTTGCTTAGCTGAAATCAGTTGACCTCAGCTGACTGATACCACGTGAGAATCTAGCTTACTGTGTTAGAGAAATGTGAGATTAGTCAAGGAAGGCATTAACTTGAGTTATTGTGGATCTACATTCTGAAGTAAGAAAGTAGCTCCACAACCTCCCTGGCTACAGTAGAGCTTTCCAAACACTTCTAGTATAATACTTGGTATAACTCTGGAAAATGTAAAATGTCATTCTGCTTGCTAAACTGCAATAAACTTTGGAAAACTGCATAAAATTCCAGAACTAATACTTCTATTTTCACCTACTATGAGGTATAAAGTGTTAATACTTTTGCTTCATCACCAGGATAGCCAGAACTTTTCTTCCTGATTAAGAATGCAACAATCTGACAAACATACCAAAAAATGTTTTCTATCATTATGGAAAGAAACTCTTACATTTGCCCACCTTAAATGCCTTTGTGAAGGAATATTTGGAAGACTGGCACCATATAGTTTGTTTTAAAAAAGAAAATAGAATTACGTTTTTCCAGGGAGTTTTTACATAGTTTTGATTTTGAGCAATTTTTTTTTGTTTTGGTTAACAGAGTTCTTGGTTAAAAGTTACCTTTAAACTATCAAATCTTCATATAAATCACTCTTTTATTTTGAAACAATTAAAAAGTACTAAATGAAGAGTGTATAAACTCTGTACTTTGAGTGGAACAAGACAGAAGTACAGTATTTGCCACCTAAAACCATGAAAACTTGGTCTGTATAATAGAAGAGTGGCACTTACTCCATCTGGCTTAAGTGGATGCTCACAACCAGGCTGAAAACTGTGAGTCTTGGCATTTAACAAATAAACAATAAATCTAGTACTTGTCTCTTCAGTATCTATCACTGGGAAAAACTATGATCCAATGTGACAACATTTTCCAATAATGAAGTTCATCCTCTAAATGTTCTTTTCTCATGACTTTCATTTCTGGATTGCATTAATGCCACAACGATCACCTTGACTGCCTCACAAAAAAGCACAGCTAGGTTAATACTGCACAGAGAATTCCCTTATTCCACTCCAAAAGACATAAAAAAGTCTGTATTGCGGTGTAATTCTTCTGGGATTTTTTGGGGCGGAAGGAGGGGCAATCTCTTTACAGCTGGGAATTGTACAGTCAAACTACAATAGAATTTCTGCTTTCTTCAGCAAATTCTATAATTCACAGCATGTTAAACATCCCTGGGCTATGCTGTCTCCTTTTGCCTATAAATGTGTTGCATGAAGATCAAACTGCTCTTCCTTACCTTTCAACGAACTTTTCTTCAAGATCTAATCTAAGATTAAAAAACACCATTTAAGTTTTTCTAGAGAAATCAAAATTACAGGAAGAGAGGTTGAAATGAAACCACCATTTACTTACACGTACTTTCAGAAATTTTGCATAGTAGCCTGCAATCCTAAAAATATTGACATAACAAATCCATGTCAGTAAGACCATTTAAAAATTTTTTTCAAGAGAAATTACAAACTTTTCCCTTGGTTTTGAACACTGTTCCTTAGATAGCTCACAGATGATGCTCAACAAAAGCTTCAGTAAGGCATAACTGTCCTCAGGAGCACCAGACCCCCTGTGGCCCCAGAGAAAGTCGGGGTAAAGGAGGAGATTGCCCTGGTTGAGAAGGACTGGGTTAGGGATCAGTTTGAACACTTGAACATCCATATCTGTGGGCCCTGATGGGATGCACCCACGGGTGCTGAGGGAGCTGGCGGAAGTCATTGCTAGGCCACTCTCCATCGTCTTTGGTAAGTTGTGGGCAACAGAAGAGATCTCTGAGGACTGGAGGAAAGCCAATGTCACTCCATTCTTCAAAAACAGCAGGAAGGAGGACCCAGGTAACTACAGACTGGTCAGCCTCACCTCCATCCCTGGAAAGGTGATGGAACATCTTATCCTTGGTGCTGTCTCTAGGCATATCAAGGATAAGAGGGTCACCAGGAGCAGTCAGTATGGCTTTGCCAAGGGGAAGTCATGTTTGACCAATGCGATAGCCTTTTATGAAGATGTAACCAGGGGGATACATGAGGACAGTGCAGAGGATGTGGTTTATCTGAATTTCAGTAAAGCATTTGACACCATCTCCCACAGCATCCTCACAGCTAAACAGAGGAAGTGTGGTCTGGATAATGATGCCTTGCACAGCAGTTCAGAATCTGTATTTTTCTGCAGTTCCAAAGTTCATAAATGCTGTTATATTCTCATGAAAGCTTCTTTTAAATATCATAGACATGTTCTCAAAGATAAATCTACTGCATAAAGAAAGAATCATAAACACATTTATTTAGTCTCATATTCTGCATTAAGAATATTGCAACAATTTTGAATTATGCTGTCAATGAGTTTAAAGAGAAGATGTTTGAAAAGTTAACTCTATGAATAAGATGGAAATATTGTACTTAATCATATTATTTTGCCTGAAGCATATAAAATCTAGCAAGGTATTACTGGCATTTGAGCTGTATTTTGTATTTTAGTGAGTTATAGCTATCCATCACAGACACCACTTTCATCTTTTACCTTCACATCTCTATTTATCTCCCACTTATTTTATGAAGTGGTTTATACACACAGTCTCTTACGTTTATTTACTTACCAACAGTATCACATGGCTCGTCTTTATGTACACAGAAATCCTTCCTAGAATTGAGGATGGAAAAGAAAAATGTTAAGCAAGCCAAGTTATGAGAGTAGTCACAACTGTGTGACCTATTTACAAATACTTTATATGGTTCAATGAAAAAATACAGAACAACATTATCTCAGCAAAGAGCGTATGTAAGCAAAGGCCAGGGCTATCCAGAACACTTCAACTTCAGTTTATTGTCAGAACAGTTTTAAGAGTAGTCAGATGACAAAACATGTATTATACATTTAAATTACATTGTAGCTAATTTCTTCCACCCCACCCCCATGTAAGCATTTTAAAATTTAACAAATCTAAAGTTAGTCTTTTTTTCATTTGAAATGGAAATATCTTCCGTGCTTCATATCAGGTCCAAAGGCAGCACTGTAATCCAGCACTTAGATCAGAGATAGAGTAAGAAAAATTTTGTCTCAAAAAAAGGTCAATGGTTAAAATGACTAATAGGAATAAATTCTGGAGACACATTTCTGCTAGGTCATCCAATTGTAGTAGTGTGATATTTACAAACTAACTCACTGGGAGAAAACTGTCCTATTTCCAACACAGATTTTAGGCCAGCCAAAGGTCTCTAAACAAGACTGCTCAATTGCATGAAGTAAAATAAATATTTGACCTCCGTGCTAAATAACATCTGCTTGGGATTCATTTTAATCTCATACCTATTTTACCTGTTCTCAGAGATACATAACATAGTTATCAGAAGAGCAAAGGAAAAATACTTTTTCTGGAGTGTGTATAACTCATGCTAAATTTTTTTATTTTAAATAAAAATAGGGCTGGTGAGGTAGGCAGGAACAAAATGCAGGAATTGTTTGGTGCTTGAGATCAGAGAGCAGACTAGTGATACTTATAATTTTTACAAATGTAACTACTACAAGAGGTTTTTTGTTTGTTTGTTTATTTCCCACAGACTATTCCCTCAGAGTGATTTAGACCCAAAAGCACTCTCAAAAGGCTGGCAAATTCTGGCCACACAGCCAGAGATATGAGGTTATACAGCTTTTGATTCTCCAGGCATCACTCACAGATAATCACAGAGCAGAAAAACAGAACAAAAGTGCTAAAAATAATATCTTGTGAATAAACTGATAAAGAAACTCTGGAAATCGACTTACAAGAGCACTGGAAATTGATCCAATGGTGGTGAATAAGAAGCTATAATCTGATACAGAAGGAAGCTATTTTATTTTTTCAAACCTGCAATAAATTGTATTAATGCACTGGGTTGTTATACAATTCTTTGTTTTGTGCTGGGTGACACAAAGGACTTATTGTCTTGTTCAGTAACATGACAAATCGATTAGAAATATGGGACTTGTGGTGAAGCAACAGAACATGTGGAAAGACAATCTAAGGACATAGATTGTCTTCCATGCACATTCACACAACTGCCATAAATATCAACAATAAATAAAAAAAAGCGCATACCGTTGAATGTAAAAGAACACCATCTAACATTTCAAAGTTGCCTACATCCAAGAAGTTTCTGCTTATGTAATAGCCTTGTTCTCATATACTTAAGGATAACTTTCTGATTTGTTTTTTCTTTTTGGCCAACTCTGACTACGGCTATGCTACGCATCCAGAGTTTCATTATGAGACTTGGGGGAAACAGCATTGCTATGATTTGGCAAGAGGGAAGTCCAATAAACCATTCTTACTTCCTGATTTACATTGAAAGAATGTAATACCTCCTTTAATTTCCAGGAATACAAATGCATTACATACATTTGAGACTAGGCTCCTTAGTAAAGATTTACAGCTCTAGCTAGACCTACCAACGACTCTCACAGAAATCGTTCTCTAATTCTCACATGGTAACTTAAATATTCCATCATATTATAACTACATTCCTGCATGTGTATATAACATACATACACCTCTACACTTTAAACACACATACAGAATTGGCATACTGAAGCTACACAAAACAGAAGAGTGGATACAGACTCTTCGAAGTAAGAGGAGGTATAAAATAGAGCAATACAGCACACTACAAAGCTCTTGGGAAGGCCAATGAGATTATTTCCCTTTCTTCTTTTCCTCCTTTCTCATTGCAAAATAGGGCAAAGAAACTAGCATTGCCATGGATATATATAGAAACTTTTGTGGCACAAGTTATTAACTGAATCTAACACTGAAAGCAAGACATTGGTTAAAGCACTCTAAAGTCCTCTTCTAAGCAGTATCCAGCACACAACTTCCACGATTCTAAACAGTTATGCTACAGGCACATGAAAGGGAAAACAGGTCATTACTCAAGTGACAGAAAAGAGAAGCTTTTCTGAGATTTAGGACTGATTTCTGAGCTTCAGCAAGTTGGCTAGCCCTAGAAAATAATTCTGAGCAAGAACAGGTAATTCATTGTTTCAAAAAAATTTTATTTAGTTAATACACTTTTTAACCAACTACATACAGCATTATGAAGAGCCTTCACAGTAAACAAAGACTAAATATCCAATTTCTAAATACAAAGTATCTCACACTCCCTTCGTTAAAATAAATCCTCATGTACAGGATAGAACTGATAGATGGGATGTACAACGGAAGACATCAAGAACAGTAGAGGAAGACTAAAGAGGAATTCAGACTGATTTTTTATGAACAGTTTGCACCAATTTGTCATTTTAGATAAATTTAACACTTGTTTTAAGCACACTAGTCAAAAGATCTATTTCTTGTCCAAGTCAGTGTATCATTTCCTCCTTCTATAAGCTAGATTGGAGAAAAGAATAAACAGAAGAGGCAAGACAATGGATTTTACCAGTCTACTAAACGCTCCTTCTGGCTTTCACTCTAATTACAATTTACTAACGGAGTTCTCTAATGTTCATAATTTTGAAAAAAAGGTTTGAAACTGCAGCCTAACTCCTGCTGTTGTAATTGATTCTCTAGGATGTATCTGAGACATACTGTCCAAGCAACAAGCTTTCTCAAATCAGGTTTTTGAAAGAACAGGTGCAGTTAGTGGCCCTCATGGAAAATAACATTATTATCACACTGCAGGTGCGACCATTTGTGCCACACAAAGTGAGTAACGACAACACTGCTGATATTCTTGTGTCTTCACGTAATAGGACATTCTGAAATTGTTCCCACATATAAACTAAGCCCATACATACAAACTAATAAATGCACTTAAAAAATAAATTAAATTAAAATTAATTTTGGAGTGAATGAACCACAAAATAAATTACACATTTACTATTTGCTTGGGAATTTAAACAGACAGACAATGTTACCACTGTAAATGTTATTTCAGAAACTTCTTAATATTTTGAGGGTAAACCTCAAATGCACCAGTATGCACTCAACAGTGCATTTTAGTAAATTTGGAAATACTATATTTAAATATTTTTAAAAGTGAACGTATAACTTGACCTCTGTAAAGCTGAACTGAGACTAAGAAGGATAATATAAATAGGCCTTCTTCTGAAGTTCATGTTTCAGTCAAACTAAAAAATAGCAGCTCAGATGGGTAAGTGAACTAATAACTGAATTGAACGTGTAGCTAAGAGATACAGAAAAGTTAGGAAGCCAGCAAAGGTGGTTTTGAATGGAGTCTAACAGAATCTAGGCGCAGCATTAGCATTAAACGATGATCTGGAAGAAAATAAAGTGAAGTTTGAAAATTAATGAATTCTTGTAGAATACAAATAGGCGTGAAGACAAATCAATTTATAAAGATGATTCATCTGAGAAGCTTTTATTTTAACGTAGCCAAAACTGGACTCCCAAACTTGATCAGATGGAGAAACAGCATGACAACAACAAAGAGAAACGAGCATTTGAAAACAGGCAGGAGGAGTTAACAGCACTCAAATAAAGGTGCAAGAAAATATCAGACATGGCAGCAGTATAATCATTCACACACTACTGTGTCCAATTTTCGTGCTTATGCTTCAAAAAACAATTTTGAAAATAGGAAAATGTCTGGAAAGATTTAAGAGAATGATTACATGTCTGAAAAACAGACTTAAAAACCTCTCAGAATTAATTTAAGAGAAAGATTAATTGTGATATGAGCATAATTTGCATAGGGAGGAGCTTATTAACACCTCTTCAGCAGCAAAGAGTGAAGAGATCAATGGCTGAGAACTAAAATAACAAAATTTAGAAATAAGACACAGCTGTCCATTCTGAAAGCAACTATAGCAATGGTCTACTTCAGAACACAGTTAATCCTTTCTTTTAAATCTCTATCTCTGTTTCTCTCTAGCTTTCTTATTCTCCAGAAAAATAAAATGTAAAAATAACTAACCAAAGGTAATGTTATAGTCTTGCACTAGATAATCAGTGATTTAAAATTCATTTTAGGTCCACGTAATGCTATGTAGCATATCTGTATGAGTGAACAGGAACATTAAGTATCCTGAGTACTAAAGCTCAAAAGAACAACCTGACAGAAACCGGTAAATTCATGCAGACTTTTCTCATGTATGTTATTACAAGCATTATCATTTCACAAACACCTCGAACCTGGAGAACTAAAAAACAAAACCAAAATAAACAGCATGTGAAGGCTTAAAATTAGCGGGATTTTTAAAAGATGCCTTTGATTTTAAAGTATGTTTTTTTCACATTTCCATGCTTCCTTCTGCATCTACAATGTGATTAGTAAATAACTAATGGTAGGGACATATGAAAATCTCAGTAACTCCTTCGATGTCTGCTGTGGATGTCAAAGGAAATGCAGCAACCACTGTTAAATATTGCAAAAATATCAAGAGTTGAAAGTACTGAAATTAGAGTGATGAAAGAATACCACTACAAAGACAAAATCAAGAGTAACTTAATCTCTCACCATGACCTTTGCAACACTAATTTTTCTGGAGCTGAATTTCACAGGAAGTTTAAAGAGAGCAGTAGCAGCTTAATAACCCAATCTCCATCCTGTTACATTTAAAAAATTTTGGACTGCTAGACACTGCAACCTTTTTGGGTGACCCCATAACGTTAGTTTCTGTGCAGGGGTCACTAACAGTCCTCCACCTCCAACTTTCTCGAGGAGTTATTTTCGTTCAAACCATCACCATCAGAAAGGCAGTAAAAGGTAAAGTCAGAAAAAGAGCTGTACTTCTTGTGTGTGTTGGAAGGTAAGAGCAATACTTAAATGCTTGGCCAAGCTTTAGGGAGAGTTCTGGGAGGGCTGGAAAGACTGAAAATGAAACAATATTTAGTAAATCTATGTGCTGTTTATGCAACCATCTACTTCTACAGAAAGAGGCACTGTTTCAATTATATATCACTCAGAGCAGAGTTTCAGATACTACATATCAATACGAATAAAGAACCAAAGTACACCATGAACACGGAATATCACTGTCTATGTGATGAATATTAGAATCATAGGTCTATTTTCTATAGAATACAGAACTTGATTTTTAATTTTTTTTATTATTTTCGTATTTATATGTTTTTCTAAAATTCACTGTGACACAAATTGACTTATGCACTGGAAAAGCAGTATGATAAATAATTTTTAAGAGAAGGTAGATTCTGTCTCATTCTTTTATCTTTTCTTTTTTTTTCTTTTGTACACACTTTTAAGCTTTATTACCTGGGCAATATAAGAACTTAAGCATTGTCATAGAATAACTGTGGATGGCAGGGCCTTTACTTGCCTTACTATCAGTTACACAATTCAAGTCAAAAAATCTACGCAGATAGAAGCTGGTAATATCATCTCAGTCACCACCAACATCGAGACGTATCTCTGTGTATTTGCACTCCTTAACTTAAAATGCAAGAAGGATGTGGATGCATCATAGTATATTTTTTCCTCAGATACTTGCTGATACGTGTATCTCTAAAGTTAATAGTTCAAATTTATAACTGTGAATCAGTTTTATCAAGAGAGTCCTTAAAATAATTTCTGTCTTAAATTTCATTCTCCTCATAATTTACATCTCAGCAGCTTATTTTCTCAATACACTATTCAACTTTTTCCTTCTGCCTACCTTTTACTTTATGGCACCATATTTTAAAAAGAATATTACTTCACCAGGATAAGCAAATTTAAAGGGAAACTAAACAAAACTCACATGCTGAAATAAGACTGCAGTGAAGTGAAATGAACAAACTTGTAGCAGATTCATATGTATCATTACAGACTATTTGGGCAGGAGAGAAAGTTGCGGGGAGAAGTCAGTTTGGCTTTCTGCTTCATATATATATAACTAATGCAAAAATAAGTCTTGAAAAGTACCTTTTCCATGAAAAGACTATTATGGCTCTTTGTTGAATAACAGTGTCTATTAGACACACATTATGCCCTTTGTAGTTAGGCATTACAAATTAGCTCTGCAGAACACACAGTACTTCATTTCCAGCTCTTTTGGTCACTAGACACATGGCATGTGAAAGCACAAGAAAGCTTTTTCAAAGCACTTTTGCTGCTCTATTACCATGCGAGACAAAAAAACAAAAAGACGTGGGTAAGTTTCAGAAGGTCTGTCACAGAATGTATTAGATAACCAAAATTTCACATTTTTACTTGAAAGATACCGAGCTGTTGGTGTTCATCTGTCTAAACAAAATTATTTCTCTCAATAAAGCAGGTTTGCTGCCCAAAGGTATTTGGAAGTTGTGACAAAGGAGCTTGTTCTGTGTTTGCAAAACAGAATGAGACACTGAATTAACAAAACACACAAGTGGAGCCACACATGGAGTTGGCTATACCATAAACCTGATGATGTGCAGAGGGAGCCTGGATTAGCAAAACATTCCCACAGTCAGTAAACCACACTACTATAATTTATTAGCGGCTAAAGCAGCTCTGAGATGGGAGGCAGTATAGTCTAGAAAATAATAAAAATGAAAAAATAAAAATGCCAGAAGAAAAGATATTTAAAGTCTGATTCCGGCACTGACTTACTATTTGACATCCAAACAATCATTTCCCTGCTCTTTACTTCAATTTCCTTAACACTGATCAGAGATTTACTCCAAAAAAACATATTAAAAACTGTCAGGTAGAAAATTGTAAGCAATGCAAATCAAAATTTCATTATTACAAAACACATCAGAAAAGTGTGTCTTAACATAAAATTAGACTTTCCAACTGCTTTTTTACCATTTATAAATGTTGCATAAAATTCAAAAATCTCCATGGCCAGACACACTGGCAGCTGAAGACATCTCCAATCCACTGTCTGTTGATTACTTAACTAACACCTCGCTTGCATGAGTTCAGAACTCTTCTGCCTCAGTTCAGAACTCTTCTGCCTCTTCCCATAAAGGTCAGTTAAGCTGAAGACGAAATAATGAGAGGAAAGAGGTGTTTCACAATTTATTCTGTAGTATCTTACTATGTGTGAGATTTATCTCACAAGCTAAATAATGCAGCCCTAGACTCATTCTCCTGGGCAGAGATGCAGGCTTGAAGGGTTCAATGCTCCCTCAAGCTGCTGCTGCTGATGCAGATAGAGCTGATGCCGCCACTCTCTCAAATAAGAGACACAGGGGATGGATGAGAGGTCACTCTGCAACTCCGTATTTTTAGCATCCAAGCAGTATGGAATTGCTTGATTACCCTTGGACAGTCACAAAGTACAACTAGATGGAAGAAGTCCTATTCCCCTTTACATACACTCATAACCCAATGCCATGTATGATACTCACTCATCCTTTATGCCTTGGCCCAA